TGAAATTTTTTTCTCTAATTAGAATACTTCCTCCAAAAGTATTTTAAACATGAATATTTGTATGCCAAACCTTCTGAAGCCTTGTATACTTGAGAATTTTTCTTTTTTTTTTCTAAGAGCTGGGGCTCTCACTATGTTGCCCCGGTTGGCTTTGAACTCCTGGGCTCAAGCAATCCTCTCACCTTGGCCTCCCAAAGTTCTGAGATTACAGGTGTTCGCCACTGTATCCAGCTGAGAATATTTTTATTATACCATCACTTTTAAATAAATTTTAGTTGTGTATTATATTCTAAGTTTAAGGGTTTTTTTTCCCTTTAGTATTTTAAATAATATCATCCCAATGTTTCTTTCAAATCCAGTGTCATGGTTAAAAAATCTGTCAGCCTTTCATGCTGGAATCTTTTAGAATTTTCTCATTACCTTTGATATTTAAATTTTTGCTATATTGTATCTAAAATTGGTTTTCTCTTGTCTTGCTGTAAGACATTGTGCGTCATCTCTATCTTTTAATTCTGGGAATTAATCTCTTTTATTTCTTTAACTATTTTGTGCTATTTTTATTTTTTTTCTCTTTATGGAACTCATATTATCCATATTTGGGAAATTCTGTCTTTCATCTCTCTTGACTTTTCTTCTCTATTTTTATTTTTTTATTCTTCTATCTTTTATTTTGAGACTGTTCTTCCGTGTAGTCCTCCAATTTACTAGTTAAACCACCATTAATGTGGTTTTTATTTCAGCTGTTACATTTTTTCACACCCAGAACCTCCATATAGTTTTCCCTATATTTCCTTTTTTTTTTTTCACATTATAATAGCTTCTCTTATTTTTTTAAATGTGCTTTCATGCTCATTTTAAATGGCCGGTCTATATTTTCTACTACTTCTTTTAAGGACACCTATGGTCCTGTTTGCTGTTTCTCTTTTGAGGTGGGGGCACTTCCTAAAGGTCTTATTACTTTGACCCATGAGAGCCCATCTGTGTCAGTGTCATGTATGTAAAGAGAAGGAAGGACAGCCAGAGTCGTAGGCCGACACAAAACCACAGTCACTACCCTTTGGTGTCACCTGATGAGTGGCACTTCAGGGTAAGGAGCACTGGGAGGTGCCCATCTCCCTGCTCTAGTCAGCCCCAGGGGTGGTAGCTGGGGGGGCAGAGGAGCCATGATGACAGCAGTCAGTTGTGACTGGCTGTCCCCAGCTCCTCCCACTCCGGCAGGATTTGGGCCTGGATTTTCTCCCCAACCCTCAACAGGCAGTCAGGATCTTGTCATTGTTTTTTGCAGCGTGGAGCAGGCAATGACTGCTCAAGGCCAACCCTGGGAGAGGCGAAAGCAGACGGCCTCCAAGAACCTTCTCACAGCCACGGCCAGCAGCCCACCCACTGGTTCAAAACACCTTTCGGTCTCACCAGAGTTCCCCACTATTTTCTCTCTGTGGTTTCTCCAGGATTGATTTTTAGGGGTGGGAACCCAAATCACATGCTAATTCATCCTGGCGGAAGCAGGTCAATCACCATTATTTTCTTGTAATAGTTATGTATGACCTACCTTCCCTCCCAGATAGAATGGCCCTGTGAGAAGGGTCACAGTTCATTGAGTCTTTGTTACACAATCTCCCTTCTCCCCTAAATGCTAGCACAGCGTTAAATAAATGCTTTAATTAAATAACAAATTAAAGTAAGTAAAGTGAATACCAGCGGCTCTAGGGAGAGACTTTCCAATACACATAGGCTCAACAAAAAGATGACTAAAGCGTCTTTTGAAAATGACACAAATTCAGTCACTCTAAATTTTCCAAAATGCTGATTTGGAGGTAAAGTTGTATCTGTTATGTTCTCTGGAAGATGGCAAGTTGAGGTAAGTGTTAGGAGATATTATTCACTGAATAAATATTTATAGAACCCTACTATGTCTTGGACATTGTGTCCTGCCCTGGGAACACAGAGAAGAGCAGGACACGGCCCCTTTCCTCTAGGACTGTGCGGCCCAATACTGTAGGCACCAGCCACTTGTGGCTACTGAGCACAAGATGAACTGTAAGTATAAAACACACTGGAATCTGAAGACTTGGTTAAATATATATATAATTTCATTAATAATTTTATATGAATTAATATTCAAGTGACAATATTTTGGATATATTGAGTTTTAAATATATATTAATTTCACCTGTTTCATATTACTTTTTAATTTTTATTTTATTTATTTTTTTTTGAGACAGAGTCTCGCTCTGTCACCTGGGCTAGAGTGCCATGGTGTCAGCCTAGCTCACAGCAACCTCAAACTCCTGGGCTCAAGCCATCCTTCTTCCTCAGCCTCCTGAGTAGCTGGGGCTACAGGCGCCACCACCACGCCCGGCTATTTTTTCTACTTTTAGTAGAGACGGAGTCTCGCTCTTGCTCAGGCTGGTCCTGAACTCCTGACCTCAAGCGATCCTCCCGCCTGGGCTTCTCGGAGTGTGAAGATTACAGGCGTGAGCCACCATGCCCTGCCATATTACTTTTTTAGATATGGCTACTAGAAAACTTGAAATTAAATGTGTGGCTTCCATTATATTTCTGTTGGACATTGCAGCTCTGGTTGCTCTTGGCTGGCTACCAGTTGGCCACCTGCTCCTTGCCTGAGATTTTCAATTTAATCAGCTCATGTGCCAGCGTCTTCGGGTCCTGTCCTGTTACTACCTACAGGTTCCACCAGAGGGTGTTCTTACCTTTCAGTTTTTCAATTCTGCACCTTAGATCCAACTATGTTCTGTGTGCATACATGTATCTCCTGTCTTCCTCTGTTCTGTGGTTCTGCAGGTTGTGCAAGAAGCATGGCGCCAGCATCTGCCTCCGGCGCCAGCCTCAGGGAGCCTCCACTGATGGCGCAAGGCTCCGGAGCAGTGTCGCATGGCAAGAGGAGGGAAGCAGGGGAGGAGACGGGGCAGGCTCTTCTCAACAGCAGGCCACCGAGCCATTCGTGAGGGACCCGCTCCCACGACCTACACTCCTCCCACCAGGCCCCACCTCCAACCCTGGGGATCAAATTTCAACATGCGATTTGCAAGGGACAAATATCCAAACAACATCACTGATTTTGATTTATTTTGCTTTAAGCATTGTGCTCGGCTCTAGGACCACAGTTACGGTCCCTGCCAACAAGGATCTTTCTATCACGGAAAGCTGTACACGGAACTAAATATGATGTGAAAAAAAGAAGAAAACTCTTTATGTCAATGTGCTGTAACTTTCTGGGGTGATCTTTTCCTTGGTAATTAATTAAGTAGTTTCAAGTGCCCAACCCATGTAACTGCAGGAAGTCGAGTGGTCCAGTGCTCTCACCAGAATTTCCGAGCATTCCCGGAGAGAGAAGCGAAGCAAGTGTGCCATATATGCCAGGAAGTCGATGTTATCTCTTGCTCCAGCCTCTTGCCCTGGGCACGCTGTCGTGGCCATTTGAGGGCAGCTCCCTACCACAGCAGGTTTCTTATTTGGCACCACTGTCGGAGCTGCGCACTGCTGCCCTTTGGCTGGGAGCTGCTCACTTCCCTTAGGACTTTGCCCTCCCGTCTCCTGACTTCTCTAAATCCCAGAGCCTCAACCTCTGTCTCCAGGGAAGACACTACAAATTCTAAGCTAAAAAAGAAAAAATCACTCTTCCTTTGTATCTGTAGATAGTTTAAAATTTATACCCTCAAACTCATTTGTGAAAAGAAAAGTAACTTTAAAAATATATAACTGATCTCATTACACTCTGAAGCAACAATTCCAGATGATGGTAGAAAAGCCTCTAAACTGGTCGTTTAAAGGAATAGATGCAGCTCTTCCTGTTTAAAAGAGGCATTTTTGGAAAACATCATTTCTCTGTTGGGAAAGGCTGAGACTTTCATGGTTTCTCCTCCCTCTTCTCCTTCCCTCTTTTGGGAATGACATCCTAGGAGTTCCTTCCACCTTTGCCTCAATTGCCAAAGTTTCTGTGGCTGGTCTAATTTGTGATTGATTCTCCCTGGCAAAAGCGACACAGCCCGGACACTTTCCCTGCTGATGGGCCCTGGTGTGGCTCGGCTCTAGCTGCAGGTCCCTCAGCTCCTCTGGCCACTTGATTCCAGGCCCCTGTGGCCGGGGCTGTTGCCCTTGGCTCCAGGCCAATTCTACCCTCTCCGTGGCCACCCTGAAAATCAATTCGCTGAAGGTCAACTGGCTAAAAATCAACCTACCAGAGTGCCAACTAATCAGATATTAATTCACCAAATCGTCAATTTTCCAATTTGCCAAAAACTCGATTCTTTATAAGGTTTTTGTCATCTTATATTGAATTGAATGATTTAGCAGTTTTTGAAGATTTCTGAAAAATTTTAGTTAATTTTTTGTTTTTTTTTAATAGAAGCTTTTAATGTTCAGTTTCTCAGATGTTGAGAATACCAGGAGAAGGTGATAATGGTGGCAGTTTTTTAATCTTCCCAGTGTCCTCACAAAAACAGAGGCAGCAATCAGAGTAGCAAAGGAAAATAGACACAGGCAATGTCTTTAGCAAACTCAGGACAAGGCAGCCCCTGAAACTCCAGAATACAAGTGGTAGGTGGGGACAGCCACCTACCCTACCCCCTAGAGCACCCTGTGGGCTCTGGCGCCATGTGGAGGTAGCAGAGTGATGAGAAGGGAGTACTCTGGTGTTTGTAAGATCTCAGGAACACAGAAATGACCAAGGCACACCCACCTCCAAAAAGAGGCGATCCCAGTCTAGCAGGAGTCCTCAGCAAGGAGCGCTAAGAACCAAGCCTTTTGGAATTTCAGAAACCCCTTTTTCTCTACCAATGTCTGATTTCCAAGACTGTGACTTTGATAGCGCTGTCAGTATTGTTTTGGAATCTTGTTTCTCTTTGTGATTCTGTGATAAAAATCCTAATTTCCCCCAAGACAATTAATATCTTTGAGTGAATAGGCATAAGGTCACATGCAAAGAAGTGTGAAAAGAAAACATGAAGACCTTTAGTAAATTAATATTTTCATAATAAAGTATATCCCCATATACTGCACAGAAACATGTAGCTTCTATCTTTACTAGCTTTGGGTATTTCATTCATAATGAGAAGGCACACTAATGTGATTTCCTAAATCAAAGGTCAGTTTTCTCCTTGAAATTAATTGCATCTCTAGAATATGAAAGCAGCTTCTGACAGTATGTATTTGACATCATGCTTGCTGTAAGAATAAGTTGTTATGTAACAGAGAAAAGGTAATTATTAATTCCACCCTGGGTGGGAGAGTTTAGGGAGAGAAGATGGCATTTAAACTGTGCCTTGGAGGATAAATAAGCGTTTACTGAAGCAGAGAAGAGGAGGAGAGCAACCCAAGGAGAGCATGGCCTGGGCAACGGCACAGAGACATCAAAGCGCATGGCGGGCGGGGACAGTCGGGCGAGCGGGGGACTGTCGGGCAAGTGGGGGACTGGCAGGCAGGCGGGGACTGTCACGCGGCCAATGTAAATGAAGAGCTGGAGGAAGCAAGGCTGAAAAACAGGCTAATGTCAAACCGAAAAGCCTCAGAGGTCTGCTGATCGTAATGGAATCACGACTTATCTACACCTGATGGGAAGCAGGCACAGTTGTTTTGGAGCCAGGTGAAAACAGGATGGACATTGAATTGATAGAAAGAGAAGAGAGGCGGCAAACCATTTAATTAATTGATCGATCAATTATCTCAGTCTCTTTGTGACTATTCCAAACCTTATCACGCTCCTCACACTCCACACGCAATCCTACGTATCAGCAGAAATCCTTGCTGCCTGCTTCACCCAGAAAACTGATCAGGCCCCCCTCCATCAGCCACATTCCGACCATTCCGAGACCCTGGCCTCTCCTTCTTTTCTCTCCAGTCTCAGAGGCTGTGGGGCTCTTCCTGCTCTGCGTTACCCCTAACCCTACCTTTCTCCCTGCACCCTCGATCACTTCACTCCTGTCCCTGGAAGCTGGCTGCAACCCTCCTCCCTCTGTCTCCGTGAACTCTCCTCAGTTCCTCTGTGCAGGGCCCTTCCCCTCAGTTTAAAATTAAAGCTCAGATCTTCCTTGTCCTCAGTGCTCTTCTCACCTCCTGGCTTCCACCCTCTCTCTCTTTACTGTTCTGATGTTACCACAGAGAACTCCACACTCCCTGCGCTCCCTTTTTCTCACCTCCCACGTCTTCTCAGCCCTGCCACAGTTCGACTTCCTCATCTGCTAAATCCTCAGTGGGACACGTATTAATTGCTGAGGTCACCAAATCTTTATCTTGGTGGATTTCTCTGCTGCTTTTGTCACAGTTGATCACCTTTTAGAAATCTCTCCTTATTGGGCTTACAGACATCATGCTCTTCTGGTTTTCTTGGTACCATTCAGATCATTTGTTCTGGGGCTTCTGCTCCTCTGAGAACCCATAAGTGCAGGTTTTCTCCAGGGACTGTCCCCAGATCACAATTTCTCCTTGGTCAAACATTCTCCCTTGCAGCCTCAATTCTCAGTCACCTAATCATATCCGACACAGTGCAGCACAATCCATGGCATCTGCTCAGTGCCTAATAGCTGTCACATCCCTCTTCCTCCAAACCAGCACAAAGCCCAGGCCCTTTGAACACAGCGACCTGGTCTTCTAACTATTAATGGGGAGCAAACTCTAACCATTCCATCCCCCCCTCTCCTTAGGGCCATAATGTTATCCTTCTCGGTATCTCGTCTTTTTCTAACATTTATCCTCGTTTTCTTTTCCCATTTCCACATACTCACTTTTCCCGCTTTGGCTCTCCTTATCTAATCAAAATTAAAACTTAAAAGAGGCCGGGTGGGGTGGCTCACGCCTGTAATGCTAGCACTCTGGGAGGCTGAGGCGGGAGGATCACTTGAGCTCAGGAACTCAAGACCAGCCTGAGCAAGAATGAGACCCCGTCTCTACCGAAAAATAGAAAAACTTAGCCGGGTGTGGTGGTGTGAGCCTGTAGTTCCACTACTCGGGAGGCTGAATCAGGAGGATCGCTTGAGCCCAGGAGTTTGAGGTTGCAGTGAGCTATGATGATGCCACAGCACTTTACCCAGGGCAGCAGAGCAAAATTTTGTCTCAAAAAAACCCCAAAACCAAAAACAAAAACAAAAAACGCTTAAAAGATATTTCAATGTCTTTGTGTAACAGCTAATTTGTTACAAAATATTTGTATTTTTAGCTATACAGTTTTACTATGCAATCACAAATGTTTTACACATTTGACCTCTCTCAAAACCAAAAATCAGTTTTAAACATGGCTTTTTACCTATATGTGGTGCTTGCTGTATGAAAGCAAACAACCAGAAAAAAACAGTCTACTTCCACCCGAACAGTGTCCCCTTCCCTGAGGCCTGCCCTGCTACCAGGCCCTTCTTGGGAACTAGTCTGCCAGACACAAGTGACACCCCTGCATTCACACTGCCCATTGGCCCCTGGGGAAATAGAAAAAGTTCTCAGTGGAGAAGTAGGTGCTTACTCCACAAATATCCTCCCACGAGGCCGTTTTTGTTCCGCTTTCACTCTCCTGCCACACACAAAGTGGCCCAGGAAACAGCAGCCCGTCCCTGGAACTCTTTCCTCCTTTTCTCCTGCTCTCCAGAAAATTTTGCAAAGAAACGGATCTCCTCCTTTCTTGGTAGAAATTATGTCTATTATTGTTTCTAAGTTTTTTACTTTTTCCGTTTATGTAGCTCTCATTCTAAGAAACAGCCTCCCTCAGGGGGCTAGAAAGCTGTGTGTTTGTAAATAATCAGACACAGACCAAGGAAAAGGACA